TGTGTGTGTGTGTGTGTGTGTATTACATGTATATATATTAGAGTATATGAAATTTGGCAGGGATAGTAAGGGGGTTGAAGATAGGGGAGGGGATCTAAATATAATCAAAATATATGAAATTTACAACAATTTAATTTTAAAAGCTATTAAAAACAATAGCAAAAAATAATAATTATGAAATAATCTGATTTTTAACGGGGTGATTGAAAGGACCCTGTACCAAGGGAATAAGGCAGAGAGGGATAGAGCGGGACACTGATATCCTTTTCTGGTCTCCTTACATATGCACAGGCATGTGCACCTGTATACACAGACATATACTTACACTGAACACACATATCACACACACACACACACACACACACAGAGACAGTATCGCTTCTCAAAGGAAGATACAAATGGCCAACAGATACATGATATAGTGCTCAACATCATTAATCATCAAAAAAAATGTAACTTAAAACCACAAGCTATCACTTTATCACATTTAGAATGGCCATTATCAAAAACACAGAAAACAAGTTCTGGCAGGGTATAGAGAAAAGAAACCCTTACACACTGCAGGTAGGAATGTAAATGAGTGCATTCATTATGTAAAACAATATGGAGGTTTCTCAGAAAGTTAAAATAGAACTATTCACATGACCCAGCAAGCCTACCAATAAACATAAAGCCAAAGGAAAGAAAATCAGTATGGCAAAGAGACATCTGCACTCCCATGTCATTGTAAACAGTATTCCTGATAACCCAAAAGTGGAGTCAACCTAAGTATCTGTTGCAGGTTTCCTCACAGGTCCAGCCCACAAGGGACTGCAGGGAAGGAGGGTTCTGGCCAAGATGGGGGTGAGTGGCACGGAATCAACACACAGACTCAGGGAGCCGGATGAGAGTAGGCACTAGGCGAGGTGCTGCAGACTCCTTTATTGCTGGGAAGTGCAAGCCTTATATACCTCTCCCCCTGCCCCCAGTGTCCCATAAGTTGGTGTGTTGCTTCCTGATAGATTCCCTCATCCAGGCAGGATCCCCTCAACCGGGCAGATCGTAGGTTGGCTATTTTGCAGAAGTGCGGGCTGCACTCTCAAAGCGGAAGCTGTATTCTCTTAGTGCAGCCTGTGCTTAGGCCTGGCACTTCCTCTCCTACTAGTATCCATTAACTGATGAGGGGATAAATGAAATATGGCACTTACATACAATGAAGTACTATTCAGCCATAAGAAAGAATGAAATGCTGGTATTTATAACAACACAGACAGAACTGGAAGGCATTATGTTCAGTGCAAGTCCCATAAGGAAAAAGACAAATATGACAAGATCTCACACAAACGTGGACTCCACCGAAGTTTATCTCAGAGAAGTTGAAAGCAGAATAGTGGTAAGCAGAGATGGGGGAAGAGCATCAGAAAGACTGGGAGTGGGTACCAACAGGAGGGGATGTAAGCTCCATTTCACAGTAGAATGACTACACATAATGATGATGTACTATATAGTTCAAAATTCTAGAAGAATTTTTAATGCTTTTCTCACAAAGAAATGATAATTTTTGAGGAAACACATATGCTTATTCTGATATGAATATTATAAAATATATACATATTCTGAGACATCACATGGTAGTCTATAAATATACATAATTTTATGTGTCAATTAAAAGATCTTTGAAAGTTTCTAAAAACTAAAAAATACTTTGGCAGCTTAATGAAAATAGAAAATGAAATTATGAACTAGAAATTTCTCTTTTAAAACATGATTATATTCATTAGATCAGAGTGTCTATAATTATGAAAAAATATCCCCCAAAATTGGTTTCTAAATTTCATGATGTGTAATTTTATAAAGGGAGGAACCTCTTGCTCCTCACTACTCAATTTAACAGTTTAATCTTATTATACTGTGATAACTAAAAAAGGAATGCCAGATATCTGTGCCAAAAGAAAACGCTCTCTGAACATGCACTAATCAAGTGTAATGCTGGTAGCTTTTATTTTTACCCCACAGCTAATGGGAAGAGCAATAAAATTTTAAAGGAATGTGGTACTTATATTGTAATTAAAGTTCACAAAATGTCAATGATAGAGTGCTGCCTCCAAGTGGCCAAAGCACAAACTGCACTACTCCGATGAACTGCAATATTCCGATGAAAGGGTCAGAAACAGTGGCCCATCTTGTCAGGCTGATTAAATCTAAGAGCCCATTACATGAACCTGTATTTCATAGGATCCAGTAATAAGTGCCTTATATCCCAGATCAGATCAGTGTGCTATTCAAGTCGTTTCTTTTAATATTTAACACTAACACCAAGGAATAGCCTGGCCTATAAAGATACGCCTCTTATTTACTCAAAAGGCTAGGGGCATGCCTCTAAAACAATAAAGGGAGTCAGATCTCTGATCTACTAAGGAAACAGTTTTTGTAACACTTAGAAATCTTAGCAAGTACTCATCCCTAATTATAGCATTAACTCTATTTATGGTCTAGTATATAAAACAGTTCAAAATCATACTTGATCACCAAGTTGTTGGACAAGGAGGGGTACTAATGAGGTAATCTGCTCTTAAACCAAAGGCTCAGTTGTCAACACCATGGGGAAATGTCTAAAAAGTAATATAAATTGAGCTTCATGCCACCATACATGTATCAAACATCACAAATGCTGATGGGTTGATATTTATACAGCTGAAAGTTTCACTTCCTGAACATCAGTTTCTTTTGATTATTCATAAAATTATTAGAAGCTCAAAAAAGATCTGTCATGCTTTTAAGATCACAAGCCTGATATCGAGTTGTTTGGAAGACTTACCTTTAAAAAGAAAAATTTTCATTTAGTAAAGTTTAATCACTGGGTGGTGATTCACTAAGGTTTTATTCTGCTTCCTTAGAGTATTTTGTTGACTTGCATTGTTTACACTTAAGATAAACCTTGGTTGTTACCACGTAACAAGTGTAAGGCAATGCTGCTGTATATGGCCAGAAGAAAACCTTTATACTGAAGGGAGTGTCGTAACAAGTGTAAGGCAATGCTGCTGTATATGGCCAGAAGAAAACCTTTATACTGAAGGGAGTGTCCTTTTCAGTAAGAGCTATGTGATGCTTAAGCTTCATTATCAACTTGACAAGATTTAGAATTTACCTAAGGGCCTTATCTCAGGGCATGTCTGTGAGGGTGTTTCAGAGGTTTAATGGAGGAGGAAGACTCACCCTCAATGTGGTGGCATCATTTTATGGGCTGGGGTCCTGGACTGAACAGAAAGCAAGCTGAGCACAGCATTCGTCCTGCTCCACTCCTGACTGAGGCTACAATGTGACCAGCTACTTCCTGCTCCCACTGCCACACTTTCCTCACCATAATGGACCGTATCCATGATATGCCGTGAGCCCAAATAAAGCCTTCCTTAAGCTGTTTTTGCAGGCATTTTGTCATAGCAAAGAAAAAAGTAATTAGTATAGAGTATAATTCATGCTCCAAGAACCCCAGGAAAATGCCAGCTTTCCTCATTTTTCATGTTGGAACTGACTGAAAGTTCTGTGTAGCTACAACTTTTAAAAATTTGGGACATAAGCCGGGTGTGGTAGCGCATGCCTTTAATCCCAGCACCCGGGAGACAGAGGCAGGTGGATCTCTGTGAGTTCAAGGGCAGCCTGGTCTCCATGGTGAATCCATGTAGCTGGGGCTACAAGGAGACCCTGTCTCAAAAAGCCAAAAAAAAAAAAAAATTGGGGACATAAAGACAATTTCAAAAGTTGATTAAAATAAACCATTGAAAACACCATAATCCTATCACATAGGAAGATATTGAAATGTGTTTATTGTGCTTATTTTAAATCCATACTTAAGTATCCAATGAGAAAAAGCTGGAAGAACTTAGGAACTTATGGAAGGCCCTTGGCCTTATGGTGGGGGCAAAGGACTGCTTTGTTCTGTCCTTTATTCTTTCTGTGAGGGGTATGTGTGCATGTGTGTGTGTGTGTGTGTGTGTGTGTGTGTGTGTGTGTGTGTGTGTTTGAACGATGGGTGTAACGTGTGTACATGTGTGGAGGCCAGAGGTCAAAATCAGGCATCCTTCCTCAGTTGCTAGTCATCTGGTTTTGAGACAGGGTCTCTCACTGAATCAGCAGCATGCCAACTCCACTTCACCAGTTAGTCAGCAAGTCCCAGAGATCTGCCTGTCTCTGATTCCCCAGTTTGAGAGTATAAGCAAATGCCACCACCGCTACACCCAGCTTGTTTTATGTGGGTTCTAGGTATCAAATTTGGGTTCTCACACTTGTACAAGCATTTTATCAGCTGAGCCATCTCCCCAGTCCTTTTAAATGAAACAAAAAGTCAAATCCAAAAATGAAAAATTTTAAGAGATGTACTACTATCTAGCAGTATTGAGAACTTTTCTCTACCGAGAGTTTATAGGGTCTGATCAACAGTGAAGACAGTGGCACGGGTGCCACTAACATAAATTAGTTCTACATGACAAGTTCCATTCTGGCTATAAATGCCTAGCTTCTGACTACAGATTTTGAAGATCTCTTCCATAGAAAAGCCAAAGAAAATTAATACCGTCTTTCCTTCGGCAGACTCCATTTACCTCAACTGTGAATTACAGGTTCTTTGTATTTCATGGGATTTATAAAAATGCAATCGTTATGAACAATTCAGATTTCTCACTGAGGAAGTTCCAATCAAGGTAAATGGAAGCAACGTTGTACCTGAGACCGTGGTATGCATAAAAAAAAATCATTTCCATGTAAACTACCCTATTCAACTTCTGTAGGTCATTTGAATACTTTATTCAGATCTATTTTTTTTTTTTTCAAATCTTATCCAGGGCTGAGAGTATCTGAGTGTTAAAGTACTGTCATGGTAGCACTCTGGGTTCAAACCCCATGACTACAGATAAAAGGGGGTACTGTCTGAAAAGAGATCAATGGAGGGACTTTTCTATCTTCCCTCACTTCTTACTAGGCTGTTTATGACTCTATGCTCTAAATCAGCTAGTACCCACACATACACAGGGCAGCCAACTCAAGATCTGTATGATGTATTTTATTACTTATAATTCCTCTCCTGGTTTTGCTTTCTTGTCTGAAACCAGATAGACAGTTCCAAAGCTTCCACTGCCAAGTTTCTGTTGAAGTTTGTATCTTCTTGCAATCAGGGTCTTTGGATAAGTGGAAATGGCTGTTGGTTCACTCACACATTTAGCAGTCTCTCGGAATTTCAGCATTGCTCCAAACAAGATAAAACTGGTTTGTTCTTCATAGAAACTTAACATTTACCTCCCAACTGATGGTCAACGTCAGACAGGAAGTGTTGATCAGTGTCTGAAATATGGAATCTCCACAGATCATGTCTAAAAGATGCTAAAAACCCTTCAAAAGTGTAAGTCTGGGCAATGATACTTGCACCTTGTGTCATCACCTCACAGCTCAGTTAGCATTCATGAAAGGGGAAAAGGTCTGGAGATGCTCCAAACTACAGAAGGTACTCTTTCACAGGAAGACAGCCTTCTTCCTTTGTCTATTCAAAGTTTGAAATCAAATGACAGCCAAATTTTCAGATTTCTGGGTTGTGCATCTGTTTTATAATACATACTCTGTTTAAGATTTATACTCCTCACCAACTTAAAAAATAATCCAAATACAGAAAAGAATATCACTTCCTTTAATGTGCATAGTCATCAATTTACTTGTAGTGTTCGTTTCCCTTTTTTATGCCTATTTTGGCTTACAAACAGCAATTTGGGATTAGACCATACATTAGCATGATGCTAATCTCCTTTACATTTTTCCATGTAGACTTTAAGTATTGCCTGTATCGTAATAGAGATGAGGAGGGATACGGATTCAGAGTGAGGTTTTTTCTATCCTAAGCAAATTTGGAACCAGTCTCTGATGTTTCTATTATGCACATTGGGTACAGAGTGATCTCCTTGGATTAGAAGGAGCACAATGCAACTCCAACCTAAAGTTGCATTTTTTCAACTTTTAAAAAATTTTTATCATTTTTATTTTATGTGTATGCGTGTACTGCCTGCATGTAGGTAAGTGCACCCATGTCATGCAATTCCCGGGGAGGACAGAAGAGGCTGTGGGATCCCCTGGAACTGGAGTTCCAGGAGACAACTGTCAGCTGCCATGTGGGTGCTGGGATTCAAACCCTGGTCTTCTGCAAGAACAACCAGTGTTCTTAACCACTGAGCCATCTCTCCAGACCCTAAAACTGTACTTTAATGGTAATGGAATATACATGTACTCCTCTTCCTCGAGGAGCTATGGAATGAACGACAGAGTTATGAAAGGTAGGGAAGTTTCATATGAGTAAGGTCACAGAAAAACAACTTTTATTTCATCAAAGCATTAAATGCTTTGTTGAAAAGTGTGTAATTTTAAATCTGTGTGAAAATATACAGTTTTACATTGAAGACCATGCCTGGGAGTGAAGTTTTCATATTTAACAATTCCAAAGCAATAAGACAAAAATTGTTGTTTATAATGATGGTCTATGGGCTAAAGCTCATGGCAATGGGCCATAAGATTGGCAATGTCTATTAAACACAAAAAACCCACCAGGGCAACCAACCAAAATTCTCAAAGTAGAAATGTAAGTTAAGATCCATTTATAATACTGTCTTCCTGAAATAATGTACTAATCAGTTAGTTGTTTCATCAGGTCCCAGTAATATCAATACCCCTCCTCAAAGAAACATCAGTCAATTTTGCTGCCCTGGAATGACAGCCTCTAAATGCACCTTTTGTTTGCTTCTTTCACTGGAAAAAAAAAAAAAAAAGTGATGCTTTCTAGCTAAAATAAGTTTCTCAGAAAAATGTATGACCTCATCATAGTCTTTTCAAATGCAAAGGGACTTTCAGATCACTCTGTTAATTCTTAATTTGGAGAGATTAAAGTGAAAGACAGGAGAGAGAGACAGGGAGGTCCAGGGCTTCTATTTGCAAGGCAGGAAATAACCTAGCAGTGCCTAAGCAACCCAGCAGAGTATCGGGGACTAACTTCCTGCCAGGCAAAGCTCACCTAGTCAGTTCTGCCACCCACATGTCCCTGTCCTCTTGTGGGTCATCCATCTCTTCCACGTAGTCATAAAATGTACAACCCAAGAATATATGTACAGGGAGTCTAGATGTGAAATCCAGAGCGGCTTGCTCACATGTGGCCTCTGCTCATCCCTGAAGGATGGTGAATGAATTTGAGTGCTGGGAACACGCCTTCTTTACCTTTGCATTCCCGATACAGGGCAAAACAGCTGACATAAGACTACGCGTACCAGTGAACATTTTGAGGGCAAGTAAGAGTGTACAAAACAACTATAGCCCAGCGAGAAAAAAAAGGGGGGGCGATGGGAACTGGGAGAGTCGCTCTTTGTGGGAACCATCCCTGGGAAGGGCAGCCAGTCTCCTGGAGCAAGACAAGGGAAAGTGCGGCTAGCACGCCTTCCCGTAACGAAAGAGCAGGCCTGCCTGACATCCGGTCTGTAGATCTAAGTCTTAGAGCAAGCCCTGACTCGGGAAAATGAACAACTTCCTTGTCCCCACAACAAAACCCCTACATTTTGGCAAAGCTGGGGAGGTATATCGAGGGGCGGGGCACTTATTCTGCGTCCTCCGGGTCTGGGAGCTGAGGGGTCCAGACAAGGGGACGTCGACAGCGGCCTTCCCCGCGAGCCGAGCCGGGCGGCCGGGTCATTACCTTTCCCGTCGGCGCGGCTGGCCAAGCCCAAGTCCCGCCAGGAACACCACAGGCCTCAGCCTAGCGGCCGCCGCGCCCAACCCAGAATCAAAGCGCTCGTAGTTGTTGGCGCCGTCGCCAGGGAGACGCCGCGGGGGCTGATGGGAAGTTGGTCACGCCGGCGGAAGTCTCTACGATCTCAGGAGGCGGAGTAGAGAGCGGACCGAGGCGGGCTCGGAGGGCCGAGCTTTCCGGACTAGGCCGCAGCCGTCGCGGAACGGCTGTGCCTTCTTCCGGGAGCTCCCAATGCCGGCCCCAACACTTTCCCCTCAGACCTGGTGGCTTCGCGGGCCCTCGCCCCAGTGACGTCATACATTGGCACTTCCGCCTCCCGCTCGCTGGCTCCAGCTCTCGTGCAGGGCGGCGCTTTCTTGCTGGACTCCTGCTTCTCTTCTGATGGAGAGAGAGAGAGGTCGCGCAGGTGGGCCCTGCTGCTGGTCGGGATGGTGGGTGGTGAGAGTTCGGTTGGCCTGGATTGGGAGGCCAGTGTTTGAGGATTAGATCGTGTATTACCTTTTGTGGGCCTTTCCCGTGTCCAGCTTGCATTTGTTGAGCTACTCGATGCAAGGTTCAATAATTAGACGACAGTGAGCCCAAGGGTTTGCAGAAACTTTCCAAGACAGACCGGTAAAGAAATTACTACCGTTCAGAATGAAACTGTTGTGATGCTGACAGCTGGGTCTAAGGTGAATCGAGAGCAAAACGTAAGCAGATGCCAAAAAAATTAGTAATCAGGATAAATTTTAATGCAGTGTCTCCAAAACTCAGAATGCAAAAATTCCAAGATTGAAGCAACTTCATGATTTTAAACAAAGACAAGATTAATAATCGTACCATATTAAACTAGTTTGAAGTCTTGAGACCAGAGGAAAACCCAGTAATACCAATCGTATGGGTTAAGTTAGCCAGCTAAGCCAAAAGAATCCCAGTTGGGGTGAAGAAGCATAAAGGTGTAGTTTCTTACCCCAGAGTCTGCCATCCAGTGGCCCTCACATCTAAGACCTGTAAGAAGTTCCCAGGGACTTATTACCAATAAGAAAGAAAAATTGGATCTCTATGATGTGTCCTACACAATTTAGTTTACGGAAGCCCAGTGCTTTTGGATTTACAATGACATTGATAAGGGTTTCAATTTTATAGCTTGGGACTTTGCTTTGATCCCCCATCAAATAGATGGAAACTTATCACCTCAGAATCACAAGTTCATTTGTATATTGGTGTGTCTATAATGTTCCTTTGGAATCAGGAGCAGCCTCAATCAGTAACCAAAGATCAAAACCCATGAAACTACTGAGCTTGTGTCTTGTCTCACACACAAGGAAAGCAGTTTATTTTTAGGTGCTCAGCTAGATATGTTGCTACCCAACATACTCTTCTAAAGAGCGCTTTACATTTTCTATTGAAGCAATGATTTAGTGCCCCCCTAAGTAGCATTAATTAAAAATGTGTTTTCTTGTTTTCAACAGGTACTTCTGATTGTCAATCATCATGGGTATCCGAGGACTAATGAGTTTCGTGGAAGATCATAGTAATGAGTTTTTCACTGATTTAAAGTTGCAGGACACAAAAATTATCATTGATGGCTATGCTCTTTTCCACCGACTTTGCTTCAATTCAGACTTGGAGCTCCGGTATGGAGGGGACTATGATTCATTTGCAGATGTTGTACAGAAATTCTTTGAATCACTGTTTGCATGTAATATCTGTCCATATGTAGTATTAGATGGAGGATGTGACATTTCAGATAAAAAGCTTACCACTTTAAAGGATAGAGCTAGAGAGAAGATCCAGGCAGCCCATTCCCTTTCTGTTGGTGGAGGTGGGAATGTATGTCCCTTACTTATCCGAGAAGTGTTCATACAGGCTTTGGTCAAACTGCAGGTATGCTTTGTCCAGTGCTTTTCAGAAGCAGATCGTGACATTATGACTCTTGCCAATCATTGGAATTGCCCTGTGCTATCATCAGATAGTGACTTTTGCATTTTTGACCTGAAAAGTGGATTTTGCCCACTGAATACCTTTCAGTGGAGAAATCTGAACACTGTTAAGGATACACAAAGTTACTATATTCCTGCCAAGTGTTTTTCCATTGATGCATTCTGCAATCACTTCAGCAACATGAACAAAGCTCTGTTACCTCTCTTTGCGGTGCTGTGTGGAAATGACCATGTTAATCTTCCCATCATGGAGACATTCTTAAGTAAAGTACATCTTCCTCTTGGTTCTAAGGGGAGGAGACACCACCGAGTTATGGGACTTCTGAACTGGATATCTAATTTTGATGACCCTACCGAAGCACTAGATAATGTTCTGAAGTATCTCCCCAAAAAGAAACGAGAAAATGTTAAGGAAGTCCTCTGCTGTGCTATGGAGGAGTACCAGCAGTCCTCCGTGAAGCTGCAGGACTTCTTCCAGTCTGGCACTTACGTATGTCCAGAGGCTTTGAATCTGGGTTTACCAGAATGGGTACTAGTGTCTTTGGCCAAAGGCCAGCTCTCTCCTTTCATCAGTGATGCTCTGGTGCTCAGAAGAACCATTCTTCACACACAGGTAGAAAACATGCAGCAACCAAATGCCCACAGAATATCTCAGCCCATCCGACAAATCATCTACGGGCTTCTTTTGAATTCTTCACATCCAGAAGACATATCCCAGAATGCAATGCCTTCTCAGCCTCTAGCTTTCAATGAAGTGGAAAGAATTAATAAAAATATCAAAACATCAATTGTTTATGCAGTACAACTGCCCAAGGATCATTCTGACTTGAGCAGATTGACTGAGGTAAGTTTTTTGTAACACTAATAAAAGTCTTTTAATCACTTTATAGGTTGGATGGTGCTTTCATATATATGCTTGCTTTTTAAAAAAAAAAAAATTGTTTTTTTTATAAGTGTTTCATTTGCCTGTATGTATACCTAGTGTGTGCGCAGTGCCCACGGAGGCCAGAAGAGGGTGATGGTAACTGAACCCTAGTTGTCTGGAATAATAGCTAGTGCTCTTAACCCCCAAGCCACCTTTCCAGCCCCTGTACACTTGCTCTTAATACAACGTACTGAGATTGGTTGCTATCTTGCCTTCATTTTATAACACTGGTGAACTAAACCTAGCACTGTTAGAGCTAAATCTGACATTTCCAACATACTTCCGTAGTCTGTTTTCTTTGCAATTATTATATTGACCCCAACTACCCAGAGAATGGGGTTATAAAGCTTAAAAACAAAAAAAGGAAAAAATTCTGAACAGCAAAAATAAAGTGCAGATAGGCACTTGATTCAGACACAGGCATAACATTTTACATTACCTCAGAGTTCAATTAAGATTAATACTGATGCTTCATTCTAATGTTTTTTATTTCTTTTGATGAGGACTCTGGTCAGGCTTCAGGTTTATGGCATCTTGGTGGCTCACTTAATTTGATACTTAGCCTACCTTGGTGCTTAAGCCTATAACACTCAGCTCAATCCTTGTTTCAGGGGAGATGTTCTCATGGATCCTAGTATTGTCTTTGCTTTTTATAATATTAGGTAAATATATTAAAAATTAAAATATAAAATTGTTTATCTCAATAACACAATTAAACTTACAAATTAAATGTAAATAGACTTAAGCCAGGAGTGGTGGCACATGCCTTTAGTTCCAGCACTTGGGAGGCAGAGGCAGGTGGATCTCTGTGAGTTCAAGGCCAGCCTGGTCTACATAGTGAGTTCCAGGCCAGCTGGGGCTACAGGGAGACCCTGACTCAAAAAGACCAAAAGAAAAAGAAAAAAGTAAATGGACTTATAAAACCAGTTGCAGTGCCCATTGAGTTTTCTTAGCTCCAACTAAATATTCAGACTCATAACCCACTTTGCCAGTCTACTCACAGATGAAGGACAGCAGCCACAACATCCCTTCAGGTTTGGTCAGACTTTACATGCCTCCAATCACTCCAGTCAGTGATTCTACATCATCAGTGAATCTGTACCCCAGGGGACATGTGGGCAGTGATTGTCACTAGAAAGAGGGAAGGGTGGGGTTGCTCCTGGCATCTAGTGGGGATGGGCCATGCATGCTGCTAAGCATCTTTCAATGCCCAATCATCCCCCACAATGAAGAATTAATTATCTGACCCCAAATTTCCATTATGCCTCTTGAGCCCCTCCACTAGTGACAGCATAAGCCTGAGGAAAGGAGATGCATAAGTGGATGCCAAAAGCCTCTCTGGCACTGGAGAGTGATTGCTAATAGGAACAGGACTTCTTTGGGGAGTGAGTGTCTGGAATTAGTGATGACTGCACAGGTTTAGAAATATTCTAAAACCACTGAATTACATACTTAAAAAATGAATTTTTACACGTGGTTTATATTTCAAAGAAAGCAACAGAGTCTCACTTAAAAGCCTTCCCCTATAGGATCCTGTCTGTACTCTATAAAAGAATTGCTCTCTCTGGCTTCTTCTGTTGAACACATTTGTGAGATTCACTTATTGCTGTGGATAGGTGTAAATCATTCATTTCTCACTACTGTAAACTTACTGCATTGTGGGAATATACCACAAATGGCTTTTCTGTTTTACAAGTGGTGGATTCCAGGTTGTGCTATTTCAGATAGTGCCGTGAGCCTTGTGGTATACATCTCTTGGGAACATAGGACACCTTACTATTGCACATACAACTACCAGTGGAATTACTGGGTCGGGTGATTTACATTATGCTCAGCTTATGCAAAGTATTATGAAATCATCTTTCATACTACAGCAATTACTATTCCCACGACCTGCAAGGAGAGTACTTCCTAACCTTGCCAACATTAGGTGTTTTCTAGCCCTTTAGATGCTTTTGGCTCTTCTAGTGGTGATACTATTATCTTAGCTGTTTGGATAGGCAATTTGTATTTCTTTGACTTATTTGAGCACTGTTTCTTGTGTATGAAGTTTCTGTTCAGTCTTTTGCCTGTTTTTCTGGGATTTTGCACACTGATAGTTTGTTAATGTGAATAAGACCTCCCATTCTGACTTTTTACTATAGTATATTTTGATGAACAATTTTTAGTATAGTCATTTAAATTTGTATTTATGGTTTCTTTTGTGATCTGCTTAGGCATTACCTATTCCCAGGATCATGAAAATGGCTTCTTTTCCCTTTCACATTTAAATCTACAATCTGTCCAGAAGTGGGCAGTATGTGCTGTGAAACAGGGATCAGGACACTTTTCCTGCTGTAAAACCCAGCTGAATTGATGAGATGTAGCATGCTGATTGCATTCCTTGCTGAATGATACCTAAAGTGTGCTCAGCACATACATATATTCAAAGTAGGATGAAATTATAGTTCACACCCTTAACTGTAGTATCACTTTGCTTTCCTTTGGCATGTGTTAATCAGTTCTGTATTTAGCTCAATGCTTTTAGCTCTGATCAGCCTATGATAATTCTAAATGGCACTGGATGCAAGTGTATTTCCAAATACAAATGCAGGTACAAGTACAGAAACCTTGTGCTCCTCTGTATTTGCTTTTAACATGTGACAGTACTTCGTCAGCTTTGTGCCAGCTCATGATAGATAGAAACTGTACACACGGGCTCATGTAATTCCCACAGGATACATGCACATAGGATAGTATTATGTTGTAGTTTCAGTGGACAGAACATCACTCAATGGATAAATGGTTCCCAGTATGTGCAGCAGTGCCTCTTAGCAATGCTTCTGCCTCTTGTGCTTACTTTCCCCGCCCTCGGGTAAAGAGCAGAGGAAGTCCCTGTTTAGAAGGTGCTAAGTATTGCTGAGTTCAAGGAAACATCTTGTGTAACTGGTAAGGCCCATTTTACAGATGGTCAGCCAAGAAAAAACTTGGAAATTTGCCCAAACTGACAGAGTTGTGGAGAACCGAACATCCCTGAAGTTAAACCCTAGACTTTGCTTCAGAAAAAAAATGTAACTTGGTGGGGCCAGGGGGGCGGTGGGGGGGCTGGAAAGATGGCTCAGTGATTAAGAGCACTGATTGCTCTTACAAAGGACCCAGGATCAGTTCCCCACTACCGATGTGGCAACTAACAACCACCTGTAACTCCCTGCTGGCTTCTGTGGACACTGATGCATTTACACACACACACACACACACACACACACACACACACACTGTGGACACTGATGCATTTACACACACACATACACATACACACACACACACAGAGATGCAGGCAAAACACTCATCATAAAATCTTTTTTCTTTTTGAGATAGGGTTTCCCTGTAGACACACACACACACACACACACACACACACACACACACACACACAGAGATGCAGGTAAAACACACATCATAAAATAAATCTTTTTTTCTTTTTGAGATAGGGTTTCCCTGTAGCCCCAGCTGGCCTGGAACTCACTATATAAGCCAGGCTGACCTTCACCTCAAGAGATCCACCTGCTTCTGCCTGAGATCAAAGGCGTGTGCCACCATGCCCAGTTATAAATAAATCTTTAAAAAAAATTTTAATTGTAACTTGGCTTGGGAATTCAGTAATTATATGGCAAAAGAATGGACTTTTTGGCTCTATGTGATTCTGTTTAAGCTTAGATTTGTTTTTACTTAAGTGTGAATGCTACTTCAAGTAGGCGGTTATTCCCATACTATAAAAGTCAGCATATCTCATTATACAATTTCATATTAAATCATTAAGCTCTGTTTGGAATCATTATACTATCCAAAGGCCTCAGCAATTAATCATTCAACTGTTTTGTTAGTTATGATGTATTTTATTTCAGAGTAACATCTCTGTTCTCAGCTATCAGTCATACTTAATATTAACCATGTGGTAAAGTGCTGAGAACTGTCTCATCCTCCCAGAAAAAAAAAAATACTTTTCAAGCTGCCTATGGATTCTAGGAGTACACCTATTTTCTTAAAAGTTTGGTTATAATGTTCACCTGAAAGTGTGTTTGAAATAGTCTTAAAAGTATAAAATTGTGGCATGTAAGGTCTTTCATGGTTCTCAACATCTTCAGATTCATTCAATTAAAATTATTTCAAGCAGCTCAAAAGCCCTCACTGCTCATTGCTTCTCAGCTGATATTTGAAGTATCCTCTACTGTGGTGTGGACTGCAAGCACATACAGGTTGTCAGTCATCCCTGCCTCCCTTGAACACATCTCTGACCTTTCAGTAGCCATATGCCACAGAAGGTGTGTATAATCCAGTTTATTCTGTGGAGGGGATCAGTAACGGCATCACAAAGAGAGTGGTACCTAAACCCACTCCAGCAAGTAAGGGCAAGGCTGTTTCCCACAGTAAATTATATAGGCTGCTAGTTAAAATGTAGGCTCTTGGACTCTCTTCAAATTACTGAATCAAAATTAAAGGGTAGAACTCAGGATTGAATTTCTAAAGCTTCCCAAAGGATGTATATACTGAGTATGTTCACCAGCCTAGAGAGAGGAAGCAGAGACACAAGAAATGCTGTTTTAGAGGGTAGAGACCCCTTCACAAGAACCATCATCAACTAACGGCTGAATTAAATCACTTCATGCTACAAAAATAAGTTTTTTTTAAAAAACAATATTCCCTAAAGTAATATGCAGAATGTTTGATATTTCCAGCTCTCCTTGGCTCGGCGGCAGACACTTCTGTTAGAAGCCCTGAAGGTGAAACAGGTTGTCCTAGAGTCCATCCCTACTTTTCTGAAGTTGCCCATTGCTGTCAGTTGCTACTGGTTACAGCACACAGAGGCCAAGGCAAAGCTGTATCATCTACAGGCCTTGCTGCTGGGAATGCTGATGGAGCCTTTGCACGCCATCATCAACAGTCCTGGTAGGTTCTGGAAATCCCAGGGATATGTTTTATACAAGCTGTGCATACTCAAGAATTCACAAAAATGTTCAATTATTTACCCCTATTACTGACAGCAGAACTTAGAAGTGAAGGTGTCAAAATGTCATTCCTTCATTGTTCAGTATTTTTTAGTAGTTGATGCACCAAGCTTGGTGCCAGGGGCTTGGCTCCAGGTGTCAAGCTGAGATGTGCTGGTACTGCCTCACCTTGCCTGCTCTGCAGCTCTTCCTGCTTTAATTTGTGCAGTGTAACAGTGTGCTTTGTCAGTTGCATTTTGAACTTCATTCCTGCTCTCCCATCAATAATACAGCAGCAACAACCCATTATAAACTTACTTCCACTTGCCCAGAAATAGAACCTCTGAATGCCTACAACCACAATAAACATTGCTATTCATGCTGCTTTTTAGCCAACCTTTTAATGCTACTGTAAGTCAGTAAGTTACGGTGGAAGGGAAACCAAAGTTTCTACTAGAGATACCCTGGGCAATTCATTGTGCATTTAGGTATTGGGTGAAATAAATACTGACACACTGGAACCCTGTAGTTCTTTTAATGCAACATTCTCCTTAAAAGATTATGAATGCTAGAATGCTATCTATATGTATAAAACTATCACACTGTACAACAGTTCCAGTTTTTGACTATTTAAATTCAAATAGAAACTTTAGCTTTACAGAGGCCACATTTGGATGTAGGATACTGTGTTGCACAGCACAGATATAGAACAGTCCCCTCACTGCAGAGTTCTGCTGGTTACTTAGCCTATTTTTATGAAAGAGTAAGTTAAATCAAAACAGCGTGAATTCAGAATACCCCAAGAATTAAGGCAGTAGCCATCAGAGGACCATTGGTATATGACAGTCAGTACAAAACTGGTCAGGCCCAGTACTGCTTTCAGAACACTTGTTGAGGCTATGTTCTCTGAATAATAACCACAAGAAGTTCCTGCAGCACAAGCCCATTAAGATTTTTTTTTTCCTGTGAGTCCTACAGAAGGGGCATGTCAAGGGTCTGTCTGTTTTCTTCTAGGAAATGTGGAGCCCGTGCCCAGGCAGGCTCAGTGCCTTGCTGCTCGCTAATTGTGAAAGGTGGGCCTCCTTTTTATTACTTTCAAGTTGGTCCCAATGTTATTTTGTGCAGCTCAGCTCAAACCAGCGTGCACAAACTGCATTTCCTAGGGTGGTTGCTTCTTGCCCCTTATCTTCTATTACGTAAAGAAGCTGAATACTTGTCAAGTTCTTTGCCATACTTTAGTGTCCTGTTCTAGGTTAAAATGTGCTTTGACTATGTGAGCTGTTCTAAGATAAGTGCACTACCCCAGAAGGGTTTCCATAAAAGGAATCTGAGTGAAAGGACAGTAACGAGAATGGTGTTTAATAGATTTTCTGTTTTCATAGACACAGATTTTAGAGAATTTACATGCAGACGTACTTAAAGTCAGGTGGCATACCAGTGGGAGAGATCTTATTTCAAGGGAAAAATAATTTGGGGTTGAATAGTCATCATTATAAAGGAACTACAGTGTAAATATTTCAGTTTTTACAGTAAGGCATTTATAAAGCCAAAGAGAAGACAATTTAAACTAATTATCTTCTTTGTGGAATTTGAAGCTGTACGAAGTGCAAGGTGATGCCGTGTTTCTGGAAATACTGCCTTTGGGTGGTTTCTTTGTCTAGGTAAGGAAGATCCACGGGCAGGTGCTAAGATGTTGTATGAAGAGTTCCAAAAGGTGAAGGAGTCAGCGCGGCCCAGTGCCAGATTAGATCTAGACACAGCTCACATCTTCTGTCAGTGGCAGTGCTGTCTTCAGATGGGGATGTATCTCAACCAGCTGCTGTCCACGCCTCTCCCAGAGCCAGACCTAACTCGGTAAGCACCAGGAAACTTTAATTCAGATGGATACAGCAAAGGTTAATGTCTTAATCTTTAAGCAAAAAAGTTACTTTAAAAACAGTGTTACTATAATTGATCTCAGAACACTTATGACTGAAGCACTGGAAACGGGACAGAGTCCCATGTTTCTTAATAATCAGCTGATGGTAGAACATTACTCCTGCCCTAATTCTTTCAGGTGTCTGAAGTAGCACTGAATGGGGACTTTCTTTTGTCACTCTACTGAAATACCACACACACCCACCACGTCTTGTTGCTGTTACATATTTACTCTTTGGCATATTGCCCATTCACTCAAATATTTATTAAATGCCTACTTTGTACTAGGGTATAGTAAACAAAACCAAAGTCTGCTCTTACGGAGCTTTTATTCTAGTGATATAATTAGACTCTTTTCTAGATGTTTTGTCTTGCCAGGCAATATATGAGGAAGGGGGGAGGCAGGAAGGGAGTTGAGCCCATATGTCAGAGTTAACTCTAGAGTTTAAGCTGGGTGGGACAGATAAGAATGGTTAAGTGTCAGATGTGGGCCCCTAGAAATGTAGGCGTCTTGGTAATTATCCATCTAGGAAGTACAAGAGGAAGATGAAAAGGTGATAGTTAGAAAATGGAATTCCTGAGATTGTGTATATGCTTGATCTCCATTCCAAGGCAAGCTCTGTGATTGTACCTTAGAACCTAGCATATTCTGAATGAGTGATAATATACGGAGGCACACAAGGTGTAATGGTTTGACTTCGAGTATGTTTCAAGTTAAAAAGTTTAGCAGTAAAAGGTTGCTTGCTTGTTTATTTTTTGTGGTATTAGGGATTGAACACAGGGCCTGTACTTTGTCAGGCAAGCACTCTACCAATGACCTATAACCCCAGCCCTAGGTTTGTTATATACCTCTAGGCCTCATGTTCAAGCAAACCCCAAAACCCTCAATACAAAGTATGATGAAATGGCCTTTAACCTTTGGGTTCTTTCTTCCTTCTAGTAAGTTTGGTCATTCTTGACTGCATCCTCTCTGGGTACCACAGTTCCCTTCATAACAAAAAAACAACACCCTCCAGTTTTCCTAATACATCTTCCAGCAGGATTGTTGTTGCATCTCCACATAATCGAGGCTTTTTAAATGTTGATTTTACACAGATTAAATGAGGGTTCTACATTGATTGCTAAAGCACTGGTTGATCAGCTCTGGCTGTGAGTCACATACATTAAACTTGAGCATTCCATCTTGTATTTGTGAATTTTTAGTTCAAATAAATGACCTTGCAAATAATGCCATTATAATTTTATGTCACTTTAACAAACTGCCTGTTTGGTTTATCAGGGTCATTTTAAATTCCTTTAAAGAGGCCTTTTCAACTTGGGGTTAGAACATCATCAATTTATTGATAAGGTTTTATGTCACCAGCTAAAGTAATCATTTTAGCTACCCAGTTCCTTCTAATAAGGAACACATCAATCTTAAATAATCTAAATGAGGGGGCTGGAGAGATAGATCAGTGGTTAAGAACACTGACTGTTCTTGCAGAAGACCTGGGTTTGAATCCCAGCACCCACATGGCAGCTAACAACTGTCCATAACTCCAGTTCCAGGGGATCCAACAGCCTCTTCTGTCCTCCACGAGCATTCATTGCACGATAGGGGTGCACTTACCTACATGCAGGCAATACACGCATACACATCAAATAAAAATAGTAAATAAAATATATATTTTTTAATCTAAATGATTATATCAGAACAGAAAGCTCTGAGTGTTTAGATACATTTATTGAAACCATGTTCATCTTAGTTCTCCTCCTGCACTGAACTGATGCTTTCAAACCATGTTTTTCTCCCACTGAACAGATTGTACAGTGGAAGCCTGGTGCATGGACTATGCCAGTCACTAGCATCAACCTCTGTGGAAAGCCTTCTGAGCATGTGCCCTGAGGTGAAGCAACTTTATGAACATCTATTCAATGCCACAAGGTCATATGCCCCAGCTGAATTATTTCTACCAAAGGGTAAATCAAATTCAAAAAAGGGGGGTCAGAAGAAGAAGATTACTGGCCGGTCAAAGAACAGAGTGGGAACCACTTCAGACACCAGGAACTGGTATGAGGGAAGCAACCGATTTGGGCTGTTAATGACTGAAAACTTGGAGGAGCACATTGAGGCCTCAGAGCTTGAGTAAACTTAGTCTGCATCACATTGAATTTGTGATTCTTTCTCCTTTAACTTTTCTATAGAAAACGTATTACAGGATAAACTACAACAGATAACATTTCAATTCCAAGGTATTTTGTACTACTTTTAATAAAGCATGATTTAAGAAACATCTGCATTTCTTAAACATGTTTTCACTGTGTTCCTTTTCATTGAATTAACAGTAATGTTTTATAAACTTTCAAGTTAAAATAGCCTAGCCAGCTATATTTGTAAAAGTCCTACTTTATAATTTTTCCCATAAAATCTGGGAAATCTTTCAAAAATCTAAGTTTCTTCTTTGTATCTAAGTATGAAAAATGTGGGTCCATAAGAGAAGGAGGTCCAACAGAAAAAAAGCACCCAACATTGATAAGCACTTCAGTACACAATAGGTCTTAAACTGTAATTCCCCCAGCAACACAAATAGCATTCTAAGCTGCTACATCTCAAGAAGACTGAGAAGAAAGGATCTCAGATCAGTGCTGGGCTCTAGGTTGTCTTTTACTCATGAGGTGTTGAAAAGTGCTCCAGAATTGGTTTTGATTGGTTTTGATTTTTGTTGTGCTGGAGATCCAATACAGGGCCTGACACATGCTAGGCAAGTATTCTACTACTAAGCTAACTCTCAACCCCAGCCAGCGATTTATACACCAAGGAATTCAAATGGAAAAGCAGATAAAATATATCATACTTGGTGATTATGAATTTTTTTGCAGGGGGGGGTCTTTTTGAGACAGGGAGCTGACCTGAACTCATTTTGTAGACCAGGCTGGCCTTCAACTCCCAGCCATCCGCCTGCCTCTGCCTCCTGAGTACTGGGACTAAAGGCATGAGAATGTATTTCTTAACGTAGTCAAAAAGTCTGGCTTGAGTGTGGTGGCACAGGCCTATAATCTCAGCACTAAGAAGGCTGGCTGAAGGTTTGAGACCACCTTGGGCAACATTCTGAGAACTCACCTCAAAAATCCAAAATGTTTGAAAAGCACTATTCTAAAATTAATAACACAAGTTGTAAAGGTGCTGGCTAGTTCCAAACAAAAATCATGAAAAAAAAAGAATAAGCAAGTGAAATGAATACAGTTGGGCAAATCTGAAAGCATATTCCAACCTTCACTTACACAACTGTGCTCTTTATCTCTGCTGGTGTATCCCATCACTAATCTTAATGAAGGCTTGAAGTTGCAAGTTTGAATAGGCCTACGTCTAGTTCCTCACATCTGACAATTTTCTACACTAGGTAGGCATACCATACTCTTAGAAAATAAACTAGGCACCAACTAGTATATCACACATACCTCGCAAGTATTCTCACAAATAACAGTGTTATTTGCTCCTAAAGTATTCAATTCTAAACACTGGCTCTGTTTCAAATGACAGGTTTTAGGAGGAGGGCAGTGAGATCCTTAGTAAGGTTGTTTTTGTGTCTGCACAGTGACTGTTTTTACCAAGATCAAGAGCAGTCTTACGCATCCATGTTTGAGAAGAAATGTGCTTTACCCATAAATGGTGGATCTGATGAGCACTATGTTAATTCCTGATGTTATCTTCCTTAATTCTTGGGTTTGAGACTAACAATTATTCCACTTCGAGTGTCCATTCCCTGGCTTATCAACACTGCTTTTTAGAACTGCCAACTTTGAGGCTAGAAAGATGAACCAGTAGTTAAGAGCTCTGGCTGCTCCTGCAGAGGAACCAAGTTCAGTTCCCAGCACCCACATAGTGGCTGAGAGCCATCTGTAACTCCAGTTTCAGGGGATCCAATGCCCTCTTTCTGATCTCTGCAGGCATTGTGTATCATAGATGCAGTTGCATACATGTTGAAAAACTACATGAAGTAAAACGCCAGCCTTTCATGGTTTACCACTTATTCTGGCAAGGAACTGGTTTAACAAGCACCAAAACTGGAGTGTACAGAATACAGAGTTTTAATTGAAGTGGAACTGAACTATATCAGGTATCTTTGCATTAAATTGGTTGTCACCTGTAGTCTCAGCACTAAGAAGGGAGATTAAAGCCAGTTTGGACTATATATTGAATTTGAGACTGGCCTAGACTACACAGTGATACTATCTCAAAAAATGAGGTGAGGGAGGGGTGTTTTGCCCTGAACAGAAGCTAGCTTTCCTTCTCTATCCACCTTGCAGGAAAGGACGTAACATCTGCTAATGTCCTTTCTCTCTTACTCCCTGTTAGAATCAGAAAATATGCCCACCATAGTGTATAACTGTGTGTATGAGTAGAGACGTCAAAGGCACTCACAGATCCTAACAGGGTTCACCAGAGAATACCCCAAGAGTCATTCTTGTCTAAGCTGCTTGGGAGAAATCAATGAAATTATGACATTACATAAAGCAGTCTGTCAGGTACACAATGGTCAAGTGCAGACTGAATGCTACATATGGAGTCAGAAGTCATAAGAGGCAAAGCTGAATCAGAAAGATTCCCCGTATCTGACTTTTTGCCTGGCTTTTTAAGATAGAAAAAAATGGAGATGGGATATAGTCAGCAATGGCAGCACATGCAGAAGCAGAATGTGGCACATCCCATAGTTCTAAAATCTATGGTTTCCCATATTTTCAATCAAGTTCTATCAAGTGAAATCTTACATGACACCTTGGAAATTGAAGTCTTCAGTTAGCAGTCCAAATAAAAAAAGAACTCTGGACAGCTAACATGAATAAACCTTAGAGGTAAAATTGGAGAAAGGAAATCATTTACTATAATATGACCGCGTTCTGTATTTAGTGGTGATGAAAATTATACTTGATAGCTGTTTTGTCCAAGACTGCTGGAGCACTGCAGCTGTCAACTTGCACACCTGGAAAGAAGACACCTCAACTGAGGGATTTCCTCCATCAGACTGGTGTATGGCTATGTCTGTGAGACATTTTCTTGACTGTTGAGTGATGTGGGCACCGCTGTGGGTGGGGCCATTCCTGGGCAGGTGGTCCTCAGTTGTGTAAGAAAGCAGGCTGGCTGGCCGGGCGGGGTGGTGCACGCCTTTAATCCCAAGCAGGCGGATCTCTTTGAGTTCAAGTTCAAGGCCAGCCTGGTCTACATAGTGAGTTCCAGGACAGCTGGGGCAACAGGGAGGCCCTGTCTCAAAAAGACCAAAAAAAAAAAAAGAAAGGAAGGAAGGAAGGAAGGAAGGAAGGAAGGAAGGTTCTCTACCTTGGTTCAACAGTGCACACATGTGCTGGATAGCTTTAGTGTCAACTTGACACACCTGGGTTGAGGGAGCTGCAATTGGGGAATTGCTTCTATTGGACTGGTCTGTGGCCATGTCTGAGGGGCATCTTTTTGATGAGTGATATGGGAGGGCCCAGCCCACTGTGAGTGGTGCCACCCCTGGGCAGGTGGGCCTGTGTTGTGTAAGCAAGCAGGCTGAACTAAGGCCAGAAGAGCAAGCCAGTAAGCAGTGTTCCTCCATGTGCTGTGCTTCAGCTCCTGCCTCTCTACCTCAGGGTTCATTCCCTGAGTTCCTGCCCTGACTTCTCACCCTCAGTGATGGACTGTCATTTAGAAGAATAAGACACAGTAAACCTTTACCTTACATTGGCTTTGGTCGGAGTGCTTTATCACAACAACAGAAATCAAACTAGAACAAAGACACTGAAAGTTAATTATCTGTACGTATAAGCTCTATGATCTTTTTCATGCCAGCTCATCATGCGGGGTGTTTCAATTTGACTTTCTCATTCATATTAATTGTAATTTCAGAAGACAAAAACGTTCATCACCTAAAAGGTCTCAGAATATCTTTTCCTTTTTTGTGCATGAAAGCAAATCAATAACTACATCTCAGTTGCTGTACCATTAAATAGTAATTGTTATAGTTCACATCACTGTACAAAGATAAAACAACTTGCCTATATTATTTATAATGTCTGGTACTAAAACCTGATAAACCATGCCTGGCACTGAAATGTGATAAATAGCCATTACTGTTACATGGATATATGAAAAATAAGAGCAAAGCAAGGAACTTGGGAAAAGTGAAGTGTCAGCAGCAGAAAAAGACAGATACCATGAGACAGGCTGTCACAGCAAAGGATAGATCTGCAGTGGCAAAGGAAATCTATCAGATAAGGCCAAGAGAAGGGCAAGAATGTAAGAATGCTACAGGAACTTTGACAGAGTTGTCACGCTGAAGACACTGGAAAGAACGGAAATCCACCAATTGAATGTGAAAATCAGACAACTGACAAAGAAGGAATTATCCCTATTGGGAGCTCTCTATGCCCCCAAACCCCTTTGCATGCTGTCAAGGCATTTTCCCTAGTGTTTTTAGCTTCAGTATGAAAGGCTCCTGGGTGTGTTTAAACACATAAAAAAGCATTAAGAGGAGCTACTGCCACTTCCTAGGAATTTCCTGTTCCTGCAACTACTTGGGTTACATCCTGTGCCTCTTCCATAGCCCTTCAGCAGGCTAATCCGTTTTTCCCCTCAGAGGTATCTCTGGAAGCTGTCCTCTCCCACATGCCTTCTGGGTGGCACAACATAGACCTGGAGCAGATCTGGAAGGAAGTTACCAAGACCAGCAAGAATTTCACTTTTGTAAGGGCTAACCACAAATGGTATTGACCTTGTGTTTCCAATAGGGGAAGCAGGGCTCCTAGTACTCACCTTACAATGTCTCTGCATGCCACATTTCTATAATGAAACCCCAAAGTGACTTTGCCCCATGCACTAATTTGAAGTTTTTCTTTCTCTTGGACCAATGTATTTAAAAGCATGCTGCCCCACTTACAGCAACAGCTTTGTGGGCCACAGGGTAAGTTACTTTTTAATACTAAAATTTAAATCCATCCAACTGTAAAAATTCTAGAATGAGAACCTCATGGTGAAGAAGGAATTTTTAAAATTCAAAGGCATGGCTGCCCCAGACTATAGTGTAATAGAAAAGCAGGTAACTGAGACCAACAGTCTGGGTGTTTCCCAGGGTTCTGTTTTCAGGAAGAGGACTCAAATTTTAAATAAACATGCAATCTTCTATTCTGACTAGTCTTAATAACCTATCACATATCTGAAGGAATTAAGTCTTCCAAGTCAAGATTATATTTTAGATATATTTACATATATAGACAAGCATAGTGTTACATGCCTTTAATGTCAGCACTCAGGAGGCAG